CGTTGTTTTTACGATAAGACGTGCCATAATCAGGAGGGACATAGAAATATTGTCATGAATCTCGAATTTTGGACTGGTAGCTTCTAGGTCGGGGTATTTCTTGTACACAAAGCCCCAAGAAATATAGAGGCGGGCGGCTACCTTTAAAGCCGAGGGCACAGTTTTACTACTATTTTGGGAGTAACTTGAATCTCCGCTTCCATTGGTTTTTGTGTTTGTTTGTTTGCTTTTTTTTTTACGATTTTCATGGATCACCGCCACACTGGATTGTAAAAAAGGGACTAATGGGAAAATGCAAGGATTAATACGAAAAACCACAACTGTGAAGGCCTACAATATTGAAAACGAATTATAATATGACAGAAAAAGTGCTTTACAGAGAAGGAATTTGATGTAAACAGGTTTAGTCCGGAGAGCTATACACCGCACATCAGATCCACCACACAGCACATGTTATTTTACTGAACTATTGGGCTAATGATTGGGCTGTCGGTTCATGCTTGTAAAGGAAAAGAGAGACCACTCCAAAAAAGGCAAAAATGGTGAGTCTTTCATATAACCCTGTGAAAGAGTTAGGGCATGTAGGCAGGTGTATCATGCGGGACGTCACCTAAGTTTTAACTAGGTCCACTGCACATGCACTGCATGCATATGGAGTTACATACATGTATATAGGCGCAACTTCAACTTTCGACCAATGGGAGTCTGCAAATCGTGGCGCATCCGCGGGGACTTGCCCATATTGATTCGGATTCATTTAAGAGAAGCTGTCAGGGAGAGCATTTAATATTGACGAACATTGTTTGTGTGAATGTGTACTCTGCTTTTGCTACGTGATTTTTGTGTTTTTTATTCTTTTATAATATGTGGATGATTTTTGATCTATTTTACTGTCCTTGTAATTTGGATGCAGTCGGGTAAGAAAACGATGGCACTATTTGGCCGTTTTGCAGAGGGATGGTAGGCTGATAGGCCATATTCAAGAGGCATCAAAGAAATATTTCTATCAATCCCGAATTTAGGACTGATAGTTTCAGTTGGGGGTATTTCTTTCACTAAAAGCCCCAAATTGCGGACCTATTTTGGACAGAAGTGAGTGCTTAGTTTAACTTCTGTTTTAGGAGTATCTTCGTTCAAAGGCGAATAAACAATATTTTCTTAGCTAAACCCCATGAAATTGAAACGAAATGTGATCTTCTGGCTATAATCCTCAATTTCCAGTGAAGAAACGGAGGCCAACCTCTTCACGAGAATCAACAGGCGGCGCTATTTCGGCCGATTTGCACTGTTTTCTACGGGCGCGTATTTGGTGTAGAGCAACCTTATGTCTGTGTCGCAAGGGCGCCATTTGTGTGTGAATACGCTATGTTCAGCAACAGGCGCAGGCGCCGCAACAGGCACGCACACCTGGTATGCCTGCGCCAAATAAAATGCCTGCGCCCTTAAACAGCGAAAATCAGACCGAAATAGCACCGCCTGTTGACTCTCCGTTTTTTACTGGAAATTCAAGATTGTGGCCAGAAGATCACTCTTCGTTTCAATTTGATGGGGGTTAGCCACGAAAAAAAAAAATGATTCGCCTTTTTCCCCGAAGATACCCCCAAAATAGTAATAAAACTATGCGTTCAGCTCTGAAGGTAGCCGCCCGCCTCTATCCAAAATAGGCCCGCAATTTGGGGCTTTTTTGTAAACGAAATACCCCAAGCTGGAAGCCACCAGTCCCAAATTCGGGATTTATAGAAATATTTCTATGATCCCTCCTGATTATGGCACGTCTTATCGTAAAAACTGCGAGGGATCACAATTATTATTGAGCTCGCGCCAACTTCCCCCACATTAATTTGAAATAGCGCCCTGAAGTTTGGACTTACATTATTACATACGTGTACTGTCTTGTTTGTGTGACATTCAGGAACTTAAGAGTAAAACTGCATGTTTTGTGAGATTATGACCACTTGGACATTTTCTTGTATGTCCGTCGTGTTTGCCGAATTACTCTTTGGGGGGAGGCTAGGGTCTGGTTTTATGCCCTCATCCCCCAAGAGGCGTTACTGAACTACCCATAACCTACAAACCTGTTTGAAATAACAGGTACATTTTGGAAGTATTGAGTTTGAAAATAAAGGGAGCTCCTTGACTAGGCCATTTTTGTA